TATGGGGTAAGTGGATTAATATGACTGGACACGATGCCGGCTTCTCCTCTCCCTTCTGACGGTGTAAATCAAGAGCAACTGCACCAAAGTCAATACATGGATTAGATTCATTGGTGCAAAGGGGCTGAAAAGCAAATGATTTTAAAAGAAAGGACACCTCGATTACAAGATGGGGAACAGAAACAGTGAAAAATGTGGTTGCTTTGCATGGCTTCCTGTGGTGCTTTTTTATGGCCCTGCTCCTTCTGTGCTAGCTTTATCCCAACAGGTGCTCTCACAAACCTGCCTGCAGCAGAGCTCCTACAGTCCTCCTTGTCACTGCACCGTGGGGAAACCCTGTCTCTGCTCTGCATAGCAGAGGGACCCCCGTGCTGACCTTGCTGCAGAGAAATGCTGGCTCCCGGGGAGATGGAAGGAGATTTAGGCAATGCAGCATTAAACATCGACTCAGCACCTCAATCCAACCTGGCCTTGAGCACTTCCAGGGATGGAGCACCCACAGCTTCTCTGGGCAACCTATTTCAGTCCCTCACCACCCTCAGAGTAAAGAATTCCTTCCTCATATCTAATGAAACCTACCTGACTAGCCCAGGCTGCCCAGTCCATGCTGCTTCTGGGGGGATATTGATTGCACACATACACACACACCCCCCCCCATCCCACAGTGGGAGACCCAGGAAAGAAGCCTTGCCTACATCCACATCTCTTGTCTAGTCTGAGGGAAGAATAATGTTTTGCCCATCCTCAGTGTCTGGGGAGATACAGTGAGGATGGTGTCAGGGACAGCTGCACTGGAATTTTGTGGGGAGGGATGCTCAGAGTGTAACAGCAACTGTAAAATATCTGGTTGTGGAATTGCCTGCTCTCACACACAGCCCTGCCTTGAGAAAGTAAATGCAAATGTACATGCAAATTAAAATGCAAATGCAAACACAAATGCCAGGCCTCTTGGGCTGCACTCACTCAGTGCTACAGAAATCCCTTGACCTCTCAGAAGAATTCAGCTTGCTGCAAATGTCCTAGTGGAGAGGAAAGAAAAATACTGCTTTCCAGTCTGGGCTCCTGCCTTTCTTTCCCTATGTGTAAGAGTGGCAGCTGGATTTCTTTGTACAAAAAGATGATTTCTGTGCACCATGTGCACAGCCCTCTCCCAGCTTTGGTGAGCAATGCGCACACTGAGGGTATTCTTGGTGAACAACTGATTCAAAAATCATGATTGTGGACACTAAAACACCTTTCACTCATCTGCCAGCATGTATCTGCCATTAAACTGAATGCATGAGAGTCAGTGTCCTCCCCAAACACCCACTGTGTTGTTAATAAAAGAAAAGGAAAAATAATTTAAGTCAGGAGGAAGCCTGCAGGTGAAATGAAGGCTCATGTCCATAATTTACATCTTTCTTTATTTCTAAACCAGTTTTTGCAATGCCATAGTGAGGCCCCATGGCGGCTTTCCAGCCTCTGGTTGCAGATGAGGCTGCAGGAGTCCCAGCTCCCTGGAGGCTGTGTGTGGCCAGCACCCAGTCCCAGAACATGAACAGGAAGGAAGCTCAGGAGTGCCCATCCATCTGGGAGCCCAGTGCTGCTCAGGGCCTGCACCCCTCAGGACCACCACCATCCTTGGATGTATCTGCCTCATGCCAGAGCTCCTCCAGGCTTTGCCCCACATGGCCAAGCACTAAGACAAGGACCTTGCTGGTCCCAGAGGGTTTTAATCAAGGAGAAACATCTCTGCAAGTGGCAAAGCAAACCACTTAGCAGTCACAGCTCATTTAGGTTTATGCTCACAGATGGAGGCGGCAGATCGGGATCCAGGCTGCCTATGCCACAGCTAATAATATATACCAGCATAATAATATGCTGGCCCAAAAGTTCTTTGCTGGGGCACTTCAACACAGTGGTTCTAACCCAAACACCTCCTCTAGAGCCACTGGGAAAACACCTCCAGTAAGCTCACTGCCTTCCTCTGGAAGGGCCCCACAGAGGAGCCTGTATGGCTCCCTATCACACAGAGCACAGCACCAAGAAAAAGACAGTCATTTCTCCAGCTCTATTAAACCTTGAGCTCAAGGTGATCACGCAGCCTACCTGCCTCCATCCGTGTGTTCTCATACCCCTCCGGGCTGTCCGTCACGGCGCTGTACGGCTGGAAAGGCTGGTTGCTGAAGAGATTGTCGCACAGGAGGCTGCGACACAGCTTCTTCAGGAAGCGCAGGACATACCCAATGCTGTTCACTACCAGCAGGTTCTGGAGATGCTGCTTGCCCTCAAAAGAAGCTGAAACTGGAAAGCAAAACAGGAGCAATTCAATACCTGTGGATGCATGGCAGAAGAGAGAAGGAGAGCAGGGGAAGAAATTTTACTCGGGTATTTGCATGTCTTAGAATATTTTGCAAAATTACGCTGCCTGAGGCACACAACTGGAGAAGCTTAAGGAGCTGAGTTTGTGAGACCCAGATCACCTTCCCCCTGGAGAGCTGAAAGATGCTGACTGGCATGGCCAGCAGTGCAAGGTTTTCTAATATATGCATCCATCTGAAAATTGTATTGTGTGATTAGAAGGAGGCAATTATAATACCCTGGTCTAAGGAAGGGGAAAGAAAGTGATCTGCAGTGATCACCAATAGTGACGGGCTGTTAGGCTGACTTCAGCAGTACCCAAGGTTTTAAAAGATAATGGAGAGATAAGAATTAAAGGAATGGTTGTGAATGAATAAAAGGTACCAGGACTGTACTGAAGAGAGAGGTAACAGCTTCATCACTGATCTTTATTTACTGCGTTAACTGCATTTATAGGCAAGGGAATGTTGGCAGTTGTGGTCTATCCAGAATTCAGTAAAGTATGATAAATCTTTCATTAAATTGGAAATGATTGCATACAAGAGGTGGGTCAAGAAATGACAACAGGGTCTGCTGGCAGGAGACCCCAAGTCCCAGAGAGAAGCCAGCAGCAGTCTGTGCTGGCACAAGAAGATTTTTGTGAATGCTGTAGGCTGGCAGACATCATCAATGGAGAAGATGACTGGGAGATTTCACAGGGAGATTTCACAGGAAGGATCTTCCAGAGTTGTTTTCTGTAATAGTAAAAATGAGTGGAAAAAAAACCTGGAAAATAAGCAGAAATCCATAACTCTTTGATGAGGCTCAAAATAACCTGCATAAAACAGCAAGGTGACACAGTCATGAAAAACTCAGATGTATTTCCAGAAGGTGTGGAACAAAACATTTCCAGGAGAGAAAATGGAGTGTTAAAGCCATTATTCAAAGTTCTGGAGAAACCTGAGATGGATTGACGGGCATCATTCTGGTCATACAGGCTGAAGAAGGGTGAATTCACACTTGCACAAGTTCACAGGCAGACTGCATTGATGTTTGGGGAACAGAAATTTTCCCTGTGGCACTGCAGCCACCACCATCCTGCTGTGTGGGACTGTGGCAAGACCTGCACTCCTTTCACTGATTCGGTGATCTTCCTTACCTGAAAGGAACTGTGTATTTCAGCCTAGAAGGATGAGGGTGGCTCTCTTCGAAATACATTTAAGGGTAAGAACAGAGCAAATAAAATTCCTGGTAAACTTGCCAGGGGACATATTTAGCCAGGAAACAAAAAGGGCATAAGGTCCCAGCCATGGAAGGGGTAGAGGTGTCAAAACAGACCCACCAGGATCAGTTGTAGCAGGACACATTCAATTTCAACAGGTTTGCAGGGAGGACAATGTGATGTGTTCCACCTGGAAGGTTCTTTCCCAATCCTACAGTCTCCCATCACTACTAACAAGAAAAAAATGCAACATTAGACTTATAATTTTGGGGATAACTTCAGAGATTTCCTGTTGGCGTAAGTTGCTGTGAGGGATCATGCTCCACAGCTGGTTGAACATCTGAGCCGAGCCACGGGAGGATAGGAAAGCCCCTGACAAACCTCTGCACTGCTGGGGGTGAGATGCAATTGCAGAGCCACACCACAACTAGGAGGCCATTCACCCCTCTTTGATGACTAGAAGAAGCATGAAATTGGGAGAAATGTTGACCAGGTGCTTTTAGTTCAGGTGAAGCTGAAGCTGAGCCAGCTCAGAGGAACTGAGACCAAGGAGTTTGGCAGGCTTGGTGCATAATATGACTCTCCTGATTGTAATGAAAATCATATATGCAGCACAGAACTAGGCAAAAGTGAGGTTTTGCACTGAATTGCTTCAGTCTTGTGTTTCTGTGAACAAGTCTGGATCATTCTCAGAGTATTTCTGGTGTCCCTTAGGGAAGGCACACCTGTGATTACAGAGAGCATGAGGAGAGGGAAGAAGCAGGATTTATTGCTGCAGAGAGGGCCAGAGTTTGGGCTCCCACACAAGAAGGTCCCAGTGGCACAGCTGAGCATCTGCAGTCCCTGCAAAACTGATTTGACTTGAAATCCTCAGCTTTGTGTTCATGCCTGACTCATCTGCAGCAGCTCATTGGAGAGTGCTGTTCCCATATTCCCACCATTGTTTCATTCCCACCACATCCCCATATGCCACAAGAATGTTGTGACACAAAACTCTTGCTGTGATAAAAGAACAGTTCACATTCACGCTGAGAACCAGGCCAGGGGATTCATCGTGGGACATGGGAGGTTCATCAGGACACAGCAAGAAGTGCCACTGTGGGAAGGTGAGGAGCTGCTGGGAAGTTCCCCTTGGTCTTTGATTCTCTCTGATATATTTGTGTAGACTGTGAGCAGTCCTGCTGCATGAGGAATTGCCATGGGACTTTTGCAATTCCTGCAGTGGAGAGCAGGTTTGGCTCATGAGCTGCAGGCAGGGGACACACCAACAGCTAAACTCCATGAAAGTTGTCCTTTTGAGAAACACAGAATCATAGAGTTATAGAGAGATTTTGGCTGGAAGGGACCATTACAGGTTACTTAGTCCAACCCTCCTGCAATGACTAGGGACGTCTTCAGCTAGCTCAGATTGCTCCAAGGCCCATCCAGCCTGACCTTGGGTATATCTGAGTTTGGGGCATCTACCACCTCTCTGGGCAACCTGTTCCAGAGTTTTTCCACCCTCATTACAAGAGGCATGCATGTGTACTTGTGGTGGCAATGTGTGTCATGAAGTGGGCTGGCACTGCTGCCGATTCTTGAACAGCTGCATGAAAACATCTCTCAGCTCTGGCCTCAGCACTGCTCCAAAGAGTGGTGAGAGGCAGACTCTGGAGTGCATGTTCCTCACCTGAATCACCACTGCAATACCCCTTTACCAACATTCTTTCATCTGACACCAAGGTGATTCCTGCAGCAGCTCATTTTACAAAAGCATAAGGGATATTCGAAGCTGGTTGCCATCCCACTGATGGGACATCCAGGACGTCCAGGGCAGTGAGGACTGGGGGACACTTAACGCTTCAAGCGCCTCCTAATGGCCACAAACCCCTTACAAAGATGCTTTACCTGACACCGTCTCGCCTCCATAGCCCTGCCTGATGAGGGAGAAGACCACCTTTTGCTGGAGTGCACAGTCGATGCAGGCTTGCACTGCTTGCTGCAGAGCCGCCGACGGCCGCTCTGGGCCAAAGTGCTCTGGCAGCTGCTGCACCTTCTTTCTGTCAAGGTATGGCCCCAGGTTTGCTTGTTTGTTGACATAAATGCAGACTGCAGACATAAAATCCCAACAAGGTTATTACAAAACAGTCCTGAGAACATCCTAGGAAATGCTGACATTCTACATTTCTATTCATTCCCCAAGTTCTTCCTTCACTGGTGAACTGTTGCCATTTGTGATGGCAGAGCCAGACTTCCCTGTGCTAATGACCCATTGCCAGAGCAAAACAAGTGGATTTTATGTCTAGCTCAGTGTCTCGGAATAGGATAAGCTACACATATCTGAAAAAGTTCCTCCTTGTGCCTGGGGTCTGCTTTCTTGAGTCTATCTTCTCCATGCAACTTGTGACCAGAAACATGTGCTGGGACTACCAGTGGTGACTTCAGAGCAAGAAGGGAATGCCAGCCTGAGCTGTGTTTTCAGGTTGTTGGCTTTTTTTTCCTCTGTTTTTAGACTGGTTCATTGAGAGCCACTGTGAGAAGCACTGCTCTGGGGTGACTTTTGGAAAGGCTTTGGATCCTTGCATCTTCTGACTCTAATGCAGCCGTAATTTCTGGAGGGTTATGCTGCACAGTGCCATGGCAGAGAATCTGGTCTTTGGGAGCTTACTAACCCTCTGTGTCCAAACTAACATTCTACAAACTGCATCAAGTTGAGGGAAACTGTACATGGTGTGCAGTGCACATTTTGGGACTGCAACAACATGACTGTGCCACAGAGGGGCTGTGAGGGAGTCTGCCCCAGCCTCTCCACAGCCAAGCCAGGCACAGCATGCCTCCTCTCATAAGGTGCAAAGTCAGTTTTTCTACATGCCATCAGGCCTGCCAGCAATAGCCAAAAAAATGAGTGTTCTCCTCACTACCATGAACTTATTTTAAGCTTGGCTGAGGCTAACTGCATCTTGGGGGGAGCGGGGATAGCGCTGCCGTAACTAAGGGCGACTAAGACACAGCCCAGAGCCAGGCTAAAGTGAGACATATTATAATAGCTGGCTGAGTGTGCTTGAGCTGTCATCTCTCAAACAATATAACATTATCTTCTGACAGAAATCAGATATGTGACAAAAAACCCCCATCAAGCAGAGTGGAGGACATGATGACAGCTGTGTAAAGATGGAAATAATTTACTGTTTGCATCACCATAATGAAAATCTAGCGCAACTGTCAGAGTGCACTCTGCTCCCCCATCTCTCAGGGACCAGCAGAAGGGGCTCAAGCACTACATCCTGGGTAAACAGGAGGGTAATAGAAATCATATTTATCATAATACCACTTCACACCTTCCAAGTGCCAAATAAACAAAGGGACAGTGCACTGAAAATACAGCAGCAGCATGCAGGATTTGCAGGGGAATGTCAGAGTTCAGACTTCCCAGAGTGCCATACCTTGACAAATCTTCAGAATGTGGCTTCTGCGTGACAATCCACTGGTTTTGTCAGGGCTCAGCTGGGGGAGGCACTCTGCAGCTTGCAGGCAATGTGCTGAGCCCCCCACTGCAGAGCCAGGGTCCCTACAGTCCTTTTGAAACTGAGAGGGAGGTAAAAGCTGACTTGAGCTTCCCTTCATCTCCTGCCAGCCCTGCTCTGGCGGGAACCTGCAGGCACTGTTGGTAGGATGCTGGGAGGAAAGGTGCCAGTGGCATGAGGATGGGCAGACAGAGGTGCGGGGCGCTGCATCCACTGAGCCTGAAATGACCATGGAGCCCCTGCCTTTGCAGCCACCCTTGTGATCTGGCAGGGCTGGTGGACTGTGCCTCCCTGTCCTGCTCCAAAAGCAGCCCTGGGGACACCTCTCAGGGCACTTCCATCCTCTCACCTGGTGTTTGCCAAGTGCTTTGCAGACTTTGTGTGTGAAGGGATAAACGAGAATAAAATATATTATTGCCATTGTCAGTTTAGTGTCATTCTGCCACCAGAGCAGATGGAAAACTTCTCCTCTGTGCATCCCAGCTAAGAAATAATGGGATTTATATGTTGTGCTTAGATTCTAGTGTTATCTAATCCATTTCTCTGCTGAAATCTCAGGGTAAATCAGCTGTCTTGTTGATTTTCTTCTCATTTACATCAGTTTAAAAGCCTTGACCTATGTTGCTTGTGGTAATATAAACAAAAAGAAAGAGTAAGGCTGTGTTTTGTGACTACATTCAGAAATGACCACGCCTGCTGCTGTGATAAGGCATTGGGGTTTTTGTGCTGGTAGCCCTGCCTATGGTCAGACCATGGCTCCTCCGTTCTCCCCAAACTGTAACAGATGCTTCATGCTCACACAGGGATTTAGGTTGGTCATCGCAACATATTAGATGGAGTGAAAATGTTAGGTATAAAATAGAGCATTCATGGATTTTTGATGTTCACATTTCAAGAGGAATAGAACTGACATCTCCACTAAACTCGACACACAGCAGTCAAAATACAATCTTACAGGATAACTCTGCTCTTTGCCACTGGTAGTTAGACTAATCTGCAAATACCCCATTTTCATGAGCTCCCCCTGTTTTGGAAACCCCAGCATCTGGCTGTCAGCCCGTGGCTCCTGCTCACCCCTTGGTCAAGGAGCACTTGAGGCTGAGTACCTGTGAGAGCCTGTGGGGTGTCCGAGTTGGGTACCGTAGCTGCATCCTGGGGGATTGAACTAATATCCGGCTCCGGCGTGCTTCTCGGTGGAGAGATTGCTAAAGGAGTCATCAGGACACGAGATTTCAGCTGCAAAAAAAGAATGAAAGTATACACAAGGTATTCCAATTTTATTCTATGTTTGTCACGCCCCATGAACTCCCACTCATTAGCAATCTGCTATTGCATCACTTTCTCCAGGCCAGAAGATCCATCCTGCTCCCAGGAGGATACTGGAGCCTGAAGCCTGACTGATTTGCAGCAGACAGCAACGCCTTAAGCTACAGGATGCAAATATTATGCCACCCACCGGGTAGTTATTTACACCTGAGCAAATTGAGCCTAACACTCCAACAAATCAGTGCAATGGCATTTTACGACCTGTTTCATGTGGGTGTAAACAATGCTCCAAAGCTCAGAAACATGAAGTCTTTAACTGCACCATAATTTAGGGCCAAATTCTGCTCTTGGATGCAGGGGTGTAAATCTTGTATAAATCCAGTGGCACCAAGAGGCTACTCTGGGCTGACACCCATGTAAATAAGCTCACACTGGTACAGATTGTGTTATTACCAGCAGGTAAATACAAACTGCTGCACCGCTGCACCCAGTGATCTTTGTGACCTGCAGTCCAGCTTGGAGAAGAGAAACATGGTTTGAATTTACGGTGCAATATCATTATGTCTTTATGCTGTCAGTCCCTGGCAACATCTCACCAGTCAAACGATGATCAGGTCCTCATATTTAAAAAGGACTGATGTGATGGATGTGACCTGAAGGTACCACTCTTGCCTTTCCTCTTGCTAAGAAGGGAAGTAGGGGGAAAGCAGAGAGCCAAGAACACAGCTTGCTGGTTTATATATTTTCATGTCCTACACCAAAGTGTTCTTCTGACAGGTATTTCTTTCCCTTTGTTGTTTTTCAATGGACAATGTACAAAGTCTATTTTAAGTAGAAATTAAGTCAGAGCACTGCTTGCAAACCAAACCTTGAGCAATCCCTGGTGGAGAGTAGAAGTTTTGGATAAAGTTTTGGACAAATCTTTCAATAAAAGTTTTGGATGAAGATTTTTGTTGCCTGTGACTATTACAAATGTCTAAAATAATGGTTGCTGTTTCAGTATAATGGCAAAACCAGAAAGCTGGGGAAAGGAGAGGGAAGTGTGTAGGACTTAGGCACATCTGAGTGAGTTTTTAACCACAAACTCCCCTGGGACAGGCTAAATCACTGACTATGCTGAGTTGGAAGGGACCCACAAGGATCACCAAGGCCCTGCCCAGGACCATCCACAAAGTCACACCATGTGCCTGAGAGCATTGTCCAAGTCCTTTTGAACTCCGTCAGACTGGTGCTGTGACAACTTCCCTGGGAAACCTTTGCCAGTGCCCAACCACCCTCTGGGGGAAGAACCTTTTTCTAATATCCAACCTAAATCTTCCCTGACACAGCTTCAGACCATTCCCTCAGGTCCTATTGCTGCTCACCAGAGAGAAGAGATCTGTGTCTGCCCCTCCTCTTCCCCTCACAAGGATGTTGAAGACTGCAGTGAGGTCTCCTCTCTGTCTCCTCCAGGCCAAATAGACCAAGTGACCTCAACTGCTTCTCATACAGCTTCCCCTCAGGACACTTCACCATCTTTGTTGCCCTCATTTTGACACACTCTAGTAGTTTAATGCCTTTATTATATTGTGGCACCCAAAACTGCCCCCAGCACTGGAGGTGAGGCCACCCCAGCTCAGAGCAGAGCGGAACAATCCCCTTCCTTGCCCAGCTGGCCATGCTGTGCCCGATGTCCTCCAGGGCAGGGTTGGCCCTCCCGGCTGCCAGGGCACTGCTGGCTCATGTTCCACTTGCCATCAACCCCCAGCTCTCTTTCCACAGCGCTGCTTTCCAGCCTCTCATTCCTCAGTCTGTCCGTGCATCCAGGGTTGCCCCATCCCAGATGCAGAATCCAGCACTTTCCCTCATTGAACTTCATATGGTTGGTGACTGCTCAGTCCTCTGATTTGTCAAGGTCTCTGCTGGGCCTCCCTGCCTTCGAGGGAGTCAACAGCTCCTCCCAGTTCTGTATTATCTGTGACCTTGCTCAGTATCCCAGTCCTGCATCCAAGTCACTCATGAAGATGCTGAAGAGCACAGGGCTGAAGATGGAGCCCTGTGGAACTCCACTGGTGACAGGTCACCAGTCCAATGTCACCCATTCCCTATAACCCTTTGTGCCTGAGTGGTGGCTCACCCATGGCATGATGTGTTTATCCAGCTGTGTGCCTGACCTTTTGTCCAAAAGGATATGGTGAGAGACAGTACTGAAAGCTTTACTGAATGGGAAGAGAACAGGGTTTCAAAAATCAAGGTCTCCATCCAGTTTGGGATTTATTCCACGCAAGATGAGAAGCAGCATGATTTACTACATTCTATAGCAATCTGTCAATTATTCACTTTTCTAGGGCAAAGTGGGCTGGCAAAGTGAAACTTTGGGTAGTCCCTATGTTAGGCTTCTGGGCTTGTTTTTGATCACACACATATATATATACATATACAAAGAATACATTGTGTGCATTTGTACACACTCTATATTTATATGAAATATATGTATTTATAAAGAGATGTGCATATATACTTGTATGTATAGAATCACAAAATCATTCAGGTTGGAAAAGACCTCTAAGATCATTGAGTCCAGTCATTCCCTAACATTGCCAGGACCACTACTACACCATGTCCCTAAACACCTACACTTTTGAACGCTTCCAGGGATGGGGATTCCACCACTTCCCTTGTTCCAATGCTCGAACACCCTTCTGCAAAGAAAATTTTCCAAACCTTCTATCTAAACCTCCCCTAGCACAACTTGAGGCCATTTCCCTTTTCCCTGTTGCTGGTTGTCTGGCAGAAGAGACTGACCCTGCCAGGCTACACCTTCCCGTCTGGTGTTTGTAGAGAGCAATAAGGTCTTTCCGAGCCTCCTTTTCTCCAGGCTAAACACCCCCAGCTGCCTCAGCTGCTCCTCATAAGATTGATACTCCAGACCCTTCACTGGTTCTGTTGTCCTTCTCTGGACAAGTTCTAGCAACTCATGTATGCTCTCACACTTACATTTCTCTATATAGAGACTATTTTTGAGACAGTACACCTAACAAATTCTGCTTCACTTGCGTGTTGGCTCCTTAATATCCTTCCTGGTTCACAGTCCTGTGGGCCCAAACAGAGGCACAGAAGTCCCCTCTCCAGCCCCCGAGCCTTCCTGAGTGTGTGCTGCCCCACCAACACGGTGCACTGCCTCACGAGCACCATCAGACCTTTTTCACCTCCTAGATCTTGGAGGCCCTGGCAGGCTCATATTCAAGAGGAAATAAACAGAAGGCAAGGCTTGTGTAAAATGTGTTGTGTGGAAGCCCCTTCTTGGCAGTTTCCTCTTCTAGTGAACAATTTACTGCAAAATTAATTGCAACAAAATGTGCTGTACAGCCTCTAGGTACAAATAAATGTCATTTTATTAGGGGTAGTAGAGAATTGGCCTTTTTTAGATTAAGGTAAAGCAATGCCTGATTAGTGCAAGAAATAGTACACTAAGCAAACAATAGCTTAGCTACTTCCTGGCCACTGAAACCCTGAGTAGTCCCTGAATATAATGAAGCATAAACCTCAAAGTATTCCACTTAAAGATGTCTTTTCTTGGATTGAGTCTTCTCTATTGAAAAGCCAACCAACTAACCAGCTGACTGACTGAGAGCTTGCCAGTAGAAAGCACATATGCATGAGTGTCAAAAAAAGCAGTGGAGAGAAAGAGGAAAGGAGACAGAGGAAATCTGTCAGAGCTCATTGGGAAATCTTTGTGGTAAGGCATTTGAATCAGCTTTTGACTATCAAATGTGGTAAGTTTTAATATGCACAGCATGAGATATAAAAGTGATTGCTTTAAAACAAGATCTACAACCAACCCCCCCAACTCTTATGGACTTTCTACCATGAAAATGAGATCAGAGAAAACTGATCAGGGATTTCAGGTAGGAAACAAATGTGTCTACTTTATCAAAGTCACCATGCATTAGATGCAGAGAGAGTGGGCCTTTGTGCCATTGATGCTGGCTACAAGTTTGAGTATGCAGTGCCTGGGGATGGGGAGGACTCTGCTGACTCCTGCAGTCTGCACACCCTTTCAGAGAAACCAGGATTCATCTTACTGGTATTTATGTTATCACCCACAAAAAAAAATGAAAGAAGGTGAAGAATATTTTCCAGGTAACTTTTTTTTTTTTAATTTTTGAAGAAGATCTCTGCCAGCTTGTATAATAAAATACAAGGGAAAGAAACATGATGAACCACAATACAATCTCTTCCTGCAGTTTTCTTAAGCCACTTAGATGCAGGTTCTCATTTTTATGGCTCCCTGTTCCTCTGTACCAGTTTTCCCTTGTCCTGAAATACAATTCCTAGAAAAGGCTGGGATTCACCCCATCCCCATGGGCCTTTGTCCTTCCAGACAGGAGGGCAGAGGCACCTCCTGGCAATGAGAGCTTTTGCTGCTGGAGATAGAACCATCTCCAGCCCCCCAAAAATGTGCATTAAGATGAGGGTCCAAGCCAGCCTGGTCCTGCCATGTGGACTTCTGATAGCTGGACAGAAGGTTGCCATTAAACCTACACCAGGGAAGCACAGAGCTTCTGGGCACATTTTGGGGTCCGTGGCTCTGCACTCCTTGTGTGAGGAGACTCAGCATCACACAAGCCCAGTCACTGAGGGTGAGAGGGGAGGTCAGCTGGCAAAGGGAAATACAGTCCAAGGTCTTTTCCACCATTTCTTCTTGTGACATGCAATAACTTTCTTCTGCACAGCAAATGATGCAAGCAAGTCTGCACACAGCCTCCTACATCCCATCAGTGTTTCACAGCGAATGAGGCAGGTAACCTTGACAGGAGTGTATACAACCTTGAAATCCAAGCCTGTATCATAGGACAGGTGAATAAACAGGACACTTTTAAGGCTGTCTGTGCAATCTCATTCCCAATGTGTCCAAATCCTGACTGCTTATTTGTCATCATTAGTATTGACTTCTAGGGCAGCAGGGGAACCGATGCCCCGTAATGGAAACTGTCACTCCACACGTGTGACTCGCTGCCCACCCCACCTGGCAGGAGCTTGCAAGGTTCTGGCTGATCTGGGCTGGGGCCAGCTCCCCAGGTGGGAGCTGTTTTGCTTGCACAGAGGGACAAACTGTCCCTTGAGCTGCTCAAAGGGGGCCATGGCCTTGTTGCCCTCTGGGAGGATGGTCTGTGCTGCAGTGCTGCCCCATGCGCTTGTCCCTCTGCTGTCCTCTAACACGGCGAATCCCTGCAGGATGCTAACAAACCTTCCCTTGCACAGGCTTTCTAGGCAGCTCTTCAGGGCTGCTCTCACTCACAGCCAGAGAAATAAGACCCACCCATCTACTAACCTCCCCCCCAGCTGCCAGAATAGTCTTTTTCCCAGAGATTTAGAGAATCAGAAAGAATATTGTATTTTGGGGAAATGTAACATTTTATGGCAAATAGCTCCACATAAGGTACAAAACAGTTTTTGGAAAAACAGCTGATGAAATTTTATAGCCAAAGCTGTGAAAAAATAAACAGGGTAGCAAGGAAAAGACTTTTCTTGGTGATGAAGTGTGATGAAATGTCATTTCAGGAAGACACAGATATTTGCTTCAATATCAATGAAAACAGGCAATGGGTCACCTGTCTATAAAGAGCATGTGATTGAAAATGTCTGTTATTCACATCTCGGTCAAAATAAATTTAAATCTAGGCTGTAAATTCCTAGTTTCTTAAAAATTCAGAAGTATTTTTCCATCTGTTCTGTAATAATTCAGCTCTCTGGTTGCTATAAAGAATTTGGTCGTCTGCCATTCGGGCAGGGAGTAATTTTTTTAAATGCATTTAAAGTCTTGTGGTAACTGAAAGTCATACAATTATCGAGCTAATTAAATCAAGCTAGAGTTCCCCATCAAAAAAGGTAATCTTTGACTCACGCTGGGGAAGTGCTTTGGATGGATGGAGAGGGGTTCACTTCAGCTGACCACGCAGCGTACGAAGGCACCTCGCGGAAACATTGCTTTGGTGTATGAATCCTACAGCACAAACCAGCAGCCCCAGGCCACATGCCACAGGTGCTGCAGCTCACAAGTGTCAGCTCCATCCACCTAAGCCACTGGTTATAAAAGGATGATGCCTTTCTATGTGCCACACTCGCCAAGAAAGAACCTCATCTCAGATCCATTGCCAAAGGAGGGACGCTGTTGCCTCCTCGCTAAGTGCCTGGGGACAAAGCGGAGGAGTTTGTGGTACCCAGCCAGGGATAAAGTGTCCCTTTGGAAGAAGAGGGGGACACAGCAATCAAATGCTCGGCCACGTAGGTCCAAAGCACAGTGTTACTGCAGCATTTCCAGGAATTTAAGTCTACCACTTCTCCCATTTATATATATATGTGGTGGTTGGTGAAAGATTTTTTTCCAAGTGGATGGGTGCATTTAGGATAGAACAGAACATATCCCCCAGGATAGGCAACACCCTAGACAAGCCCTTCTCCAGGGAAGGCTGTGTCAGCTTCAGTGAATTTTTTTATTCACTTTTCTGTCTTGACACCACAAACTCAAGCAGCTCTGATTTTCGATCAGTCAACAACTTGCCCTCCTTGTGTAACAGTCTGCATTGTCTGCACCAGAGCTCGTCCAAAACAAGGAACAGGCGTGGCAAACACGTACAGTGCCCCAAGCTGGCCAGAGACAGAGGCTGAGAGATGAACAGAGAATCCACTGAACACAAGATCCCTTACTGTAGCCCAGTTTCACTCCCCAGAACAGATTCTCCTTCCCCCAGCATCACAGTCCCATTTTTGCCTGGTGTGAGGCACTGCTCCCACTGGTGCTGAGCCCACTGCAAAGCGGTGTGGTGGGAGAGACCCAGCCCAGCAGCGGCATTGGAAGGGCTTAAGGCACTAAGGGTTCCTGTCTTTCTTTAGTTCTGCCTTTGCCCCAGGGTTGAACAGAGAGCTGGGCAGTGAGCAGACAAATAAAGTGAAATCCAGTTATTTTTCTCAGATGTCCCTTTTTTCTTTTTTCCTTTGGACAGTAGCTTTTTTCCCCCCTCTCTTTATTTCCGCTCTCTTGTATTCCTTTCCTTCTCTGTTTTTGTTCAATTTCTAATCACTGTTTGTGAGAGGGAAAAAAATGACAAATGAGAAACACTTTTCCAGAGGTGTGAAGCCATCCCACACAACACAGTGGAAAACATCTTCAAACAGACCAAATTAAAATAACTTTAACCTTTGAGAAAATATATATGGTGTGGTTCTTGGGGTTCCCTGCACAGGACTAGGAGATGGAGTCAATGATCCTGATGGGTCCCCTTCAACTTAGAATACTCTATGATTCTGTGATTTTTTTCACCAGCTCAGGTAGAAGAGAAACCATCTTCTCTCTTTTTTTTTTTTTTCTTTGCTTTGCTCTGCCCCAGACCCGCAAAACTTTTCCTCTATTCCTGCATGTTAGCTGAATTTCTAGAAGAAAATGTATGAAGACCAACAGGAGGCGGACAAGGAATGTGAAAGTCATGCATCTACCTTGTGCCCAGGTTTTCTGCCTCTCTTCTTTGGGATCTTCATGGCTGGCAGAGCACCGGCTGGGGCCGAGAAGAGGTTGTGAACAGCCATTTTGATGGGCGCTGGCTGGAGCGGGGGCCGCCCTCGCTTCTTCCCTGCCATCCTGGGGGACTGCATCTCCCCAGCAGCCAGGCTGGGGTCCAGGCACGGTGGGTGGCTCATCTGCCCGAGGGAGAGAAAATCACAAAGCAAACCAACTCTTTATTAAATTTTCATTTTAGATCTTTTTAATCCAAAGGCAGATTGCTCAGTGCTGTCGTTTTCCCCGTTACCACTGATCACAAAGCCGCAAGAAACACACCTGAGTGGGTGTCTTTCACCCTGGCTGGGATTCACCTGACCACAGCTGGTCTCCAAAGCTGGACATAACCCTTACCTTTCCCATTTCCCTCTCCTGATCATGAGTGCTGGAGAGGGACTTGCTTGGCTGGGGAGGCTTCTATTGCAGATATCCAATAGGTGAATCCCACAACTACCTCGACTCTGTGTCCTGCAGGTAAGTGTGATGAAAGCTCGAGCTTGCAGCCATCAGTCAGTGCCTGCTTTCAGATGGGCTTTGGAGGAGATCTCCTAAAATCCCTACCAACTTGATTTTTTTTTCACGAATTCCATGGTTCTGCAAATCCTGCCTCACCTCAGAAGTACTACCAGTACTGAAATGGACTTCCCCCCTCTTCATCTGCAGCACTCCTGAGTGGGGAGGCTGCCAGCACAAGGTAGCCATAGAGTAATTGCCAAACATTTCCTCTCTGCAGTTTTATAACATCTGTTACTAGGCATGTTAGCAGTGGACTTCTGGATGTACTCCATTAATGCAGTTACTTCACCACAACTCCATGCAGCTGCTGAAATTGAGCAGGGGGAATGGAGTGGAATCTGGTCCATTTTCCTCTGCCCAGATTTTAATAAAGAAAACAAATATACAACCATACACACAATGCCAAGGGAATATACAGCATGCTTCACAGCTTCTAGTAAGGGTCACCTACAAGCAAAGGTTAATTAAAAAAACAAAAAAAAAAAAACAGCTGTAAAAATATTGTTTTCATATATGTTTTCAAGTGTTGTTTTGTCCAGGCATTTGATTTCCTGCATATGGACAGAACAGTAGTCCCAGTCCTGCCTGCATATATTGCTAGACACAAAGGTCTAAAAGCAATTCTCATACTTTTATGATAAGCCTTGTAATGGCTAATGTTGTCAAAATTGTGCTCCCTCAGGCAAGCGATAATGGAGGACTCCCTGTTTTCTGTATTTTTTCACAGAGCAGGCTCATAGCTCTCTCAGCTTCAGAGAAAACCTAAAGATGTGGTTCAAGAGCATCCTCTACATAAAGCAAATAAAGGTTCATTTATTACTACAAACAACTACAATTTTTTACAAAATCTATAAACTATAAAACCTACAAATTTCTCAGAGCACTTCAGATTTCACAATTTCAGAACCCAGTGTGATCAGAACTGATGTTGCTGGGAATGAAATTGGGATTTCTCACTCACGTAGTGGGAAGGATACCACTTGATAGAGGTCTCTGGTGACAAGTATCTGCAGCTGGGGGCTTCTTTGTTTCAAAGGCAAGTATGTTATGCCTGGTTAAAACTCTGTAAGTGTGACTAACCAAAAAGAAACCCTCTGGTTTATTATCCAGTCTGTAGTTTACACAATCGCCTGTATGATAAAAAAATAGAGGGCTCCCAGCCCTACCCTCCAGTAAATGCATTTATTTGCAATATGTTAAATCCTGTGTGTTTTCAATAATGCTAGGGGTATCTGCTCTGTTCAGATAGATCCACTATATATGATGAGACTTACAGATTGGCTATAACATTTCCAGTCGTCAACCCCACCTGCCTAAAACTCTTATGCAAATACTGAATGTCAAACATCAGAACAGAGCAAACTTTGCAGTGTCTCTGTATTGTCCAGAGCCACTGGGGTTGCACTCGCTCTCCAGGCATGCTCAGCCAGCTTAGGAGCCCCCATGAAAGCCTGCCATGGGGCTCTGATTTTTACCAAAGAAAGCCTCATGTGACTGCAGAGTGTCCTTTCAGGGTTAAAATCATCAGGCTTGCCACAGCAGGAGTTGAATGGAAAGGCCCAATTTACCATGAACATCACTGCTTTCCTTCTGTGTCCAGCAGTGTTCATTTTCCTCCCTGCAGTGCTTTCTGACAAACACCCTCCGTGTCTCTTCCACCTCCCAAAACAAAACATTCCCAGGATCTTACATTACAGGCTGTCTGCAGGCAGGGAGTGCAGCAGGGAAAGGAAATGCAACAATTACACTGGATTTGGCACCAAAACATACTGAAAGCCCAGTGCTGCAGGCTCTGCATTTTGGTGTGCTTTAAAGAAAACCTGGCAAGATAAACCTTTGCAGAGGAGCTTGGTGGAGGCTGAGGAAGCAGATCCAGGCCAGGTTTGCTCCCTGCTTGAGGAAGGGAGTGGTTCCTGCAGAAGGGGCCACTGGTGTCCATGGGGCTGTGAGAGAGGTTGTGCACCTGCACAGAACACTACACTGCATTGTCTGCATCATATTCTCCTCTGACAGTAAAAGTAACTGATGGCACCTCAGAAACTCTGAGTTATCAATCCCCAAAACAAGAGGTACTGACCCAGGGCACTTCTTTGTCTGAAATGTTGCTTTCTTTTGCAACTGGTGAAGTATTAAATACACAGTGGTCAGGAAACACTCTAAATGTTAACAATCACAGTTTTTTGTGCTGTTTCTGCGCTCCCAACACTTGTGACATTGTGCTTTGGCAAAACCTCTTAGAGCTCCTCACAACATGTGCTGACACACAAGACCCAAATGAACTGTGCACAAAAGGATCTCAGCGTAACATATTTGATTTGATACAGCAAAGACATTGTCAACTTCAGCATACATGCTGTTGTAATTACATTTTATTACAAGCCCAACCATGACTTGGTTCTCCTTTCTTGTGTGCTAAGGGAAACGCGAGTGCTTTTGGTGGCATTTATTGTCACACTGCTGCAGATCCTGCGAGGCAAAGGTGCTCCCCCAGCAGCAGGGAAGGGCAGCAGACACACAGAAACTGCTTCTGCCTGACAGTGAGGGGTCACAGCACGACCTTCCCTGACAGCCAGAAGGAAGGTCTTGGGCAGGCTGGAAAAACAGGTGGTCAAATTGCAGGTTGGCCAGAGGTCAGAGGGACACAGGGGTTTGTCTGACTGCCCCCAGCAAAGTCAGGGAGTTACCTTGGAATGACTTTCCTAGGGTAGCTCTGACTGCTGCCACCGCCTGGGCTTGACCCACAGCTCACTGCTGGAAAGCTTGGTAGGTTCAAGGCAAGTTATGAGAGTTTGATGAAATTTAAGGGCAAATTCAAGGAAGCAAATTACAGGCTACTAACAAAGGCATCGCCTCAGCTCAGGAAATCACTGTAGTACAAATAGCTCTGGAGTGCTATGGGAGGAAAATCAGTATATGTTTGCCCTGTCCTTGCACTTTTCCAAAGGCACTAGCTTTGGATGGCCAAGGATGGTGCAGCTTCACTCTGACCTGGGTCTCTCACTTTTGTATTCTTAGTTTAAAAATAACAGCAGGAAACTATATTTATGGCTTCTCATCCCTTAATGCAGGGTTACACACAGGGTAACCTCTCCCGACTTGTCTCTCAAACACAGCCATTTGGAAATACAATTTCTTACCCTGCCTTCCACATTGCTCCATCAGATCCCAGGGAGGAGGCAGCAGGGGAACACCTCTCCCCACCTCGACACCTAGGCAAGCACTGCAGGGAGGGTGAAGTCTCATCCCCTCTGGCAGCAGAGGTTCAGCTGTGACTTCAGAGGATCCTGAGGAACACACTATGCACAGCAGCCCGCCCTGTGGGGTGCCAGGAGTGGGGAGAAAACATTCCCTAGGCCAACACTGGTGAGCTGTAGGATGTTTCCAGCAGCCCAGGAAGCTTTGCACCATGCACACCTCGCACCATGTGTTGGTGTGTACGCTGTACAATTAGCGACACAGATTGCCATGCTGGAGGCTACAGCTGAGAGCAGAGAGAGCTACGGTGCATTTCCTCCCAAGCTGAGTGTTTTTGATGGACTGCAAAGATCCATTCTTAATAAAAGTAAATGTCTGCAATAAATGCAGCTTTTAACCTGCACTCCAGTAACTGCAAGGACTGAAGGTAAAAATACCACATTAAATTTTATATCTGTAATTCCACAGGATGATCATTTAAACCTGGTTTATACCAGGTCTCATGCAAACCTGTGCCTGGACAGGCATAGGGATGTCACATAGGGAAGGAACAAAGCAATTCCTGCTTTAAGCCAAAGGAACATGCAGGGCTGCAATCAAGTAGAAAATGTGCCTGTTCCTCAGCAGCTGAAGGAGATTCCCTCCCCTACACCCACTGCTCCCAGCTGCAGAAAGACTCTGACCTGTTAGCATTTGCAGCCCTGCCTGCAACTCTTGACTCCTGCAGAGCTTTGTGTCTCACTGATCTACATATCCTACAGCTGAATGTGGAAAAGATATAAACTTCTTGTGATCTTGTCTGTCTTTTCTTCAGGAAAAGCAGGATGTTGTTCAGGAAAGCAGGTTTGTTTGGGAATATCACATTGTTAAACAAGAGGGAGGAGATACCCTTCAGTCAGTAACATGACTATTTTCTCCTCTTTCTCTGTGCACAGCAGGACAGCCCTTTGACTGTGACCACTCTGAGATGATGGTCTGAGGAGTAGGTGAGCAAAAAGAAAAGCATTGTCAGGTCTAGAAGCCAAGCTTTAAAGCTGCCTGCTCCTCCTGGGGAGTATTCAGGGACCTGAGACATTACACATCTCTTCATCGTGAATACTAAAGCAGCACCGCGGAGTACATGAAAGGTAAAAGTTTAGTGAAGCAGACAGGAGGAATTTTTTGCTAATAAAAGCATTGAGCCAATATTCTCTGCATGTCTGTATGTGATTGCCTAATGACCTCTCATGGTGAACACCCATTTCACCATTGCTCAAAGAAAGGTCAGGATAATTTTTATCTGTGGCACAAAGTTCTTTTACAGTGATTTGCAAACCTCTTCTCTTTTCTTGCCTATTGCTTTGGGGATTGAAAGGAGAAGCTGCTTCTCTGAGGGACTCTTGCC